TAAATATTCTAAGCTTATTGTAAGCATGGATCCCTGATTTCAGTTTGTCATTTCATCTTGTGGAACCCATACCTGCTATTGACAGGTGTTGTGTACTTGTCAATGACTCGTTCGATGATTTGCAAAATGGTTGATTTTTTTATGGTTACTCATTTATCAAGTGCATAGGGTTAGATTAAAGTGACTATTTGCCTAAAGAGGGGTTATGGTATTATTATTTATCCAGTTTTTAATGGATACAATTTCAAATTATAAATCTACGTTTAAGTAAAGTGGTGAATTTTGTGATCCTTAGCAAAGTGTGAGTAGTATATATGTGGCAATATTCATATATCACTTATACCAAGTTCTTTGATCAGATAATTGATGTAGTAACGCAATACCTGCAATTGTTTTGTAATTGAGGCTTTTCATGCATGGCAGCCACCCAGGATGACAGGGGGCTGGGACACAATGGGTTTCCTCCGTGTTAGCTTGTGCAGTCTGACAATGACAACTTCACACATTGATTTAACCCACTTTGAAAGACAGTGGCTTGAAATCTGGTTCTTAGTTTTGCTGACAAAAAGTCATGTTCTGCCCCAGTTGGTTCTAAAGAAACTACATGTATTTGCATGTTCTGCCCCAGTTGGTTCTAAAGAAACTACATGTATTTGCATGTTCTGCCCCAGTTGGTTCTAAAGAAACTACATGTATTTGCATGTTCTGCCCCAGTTGGTTCTAAAGAAACTACATGTATTTGCATGTTCTGCCCCAGTTGGTTCTAAAGAAACTACATGTATTTGCATTTCGTCAGGGCCTACTTGAAGATTTTGTAATAAATCATTCCTGAATGTGGTAAGCTCGCTCTGAAAAGGTCATTCTTCCTTGGTGATTTTACAGACCAGTCACGAAGGTCTGCTATTGTGGAGCACTTAGCTTATGTTAGTAAATCTGTTGTGCCAGCTGAAGGTGACAGTCACAATGTCAAGCCCATAACTGTTTTGAGAGATACTGATGCTCTCCAAACGCTGTTTTTACGCTGTTTTCGAAGGGGTCATAAATTCTATCTGTGGTTTAGTTAGAGTGTTTACGTGATTATACTAGTGAACCCGTTTTGTGAGATTGAAGACTGATTTGGTGTGTGGGTTTTCTTAAGGTGGGGGATGTAGACACTCTCCTGGTGCTGTAGAAACATGAAAATGATGAACCCGGTTTCTAAAATTGATTTTAGTGGAGCCTTTCTTTGGAGGAATTTGATTGAGACATAAAACATATTAAAGGCAAAGACGATATCAACGCTGATTTGGAACTTTGGTACTTAGCTGATTTGGTACTTTGACTAGCAAAAACATTTTTCACTCAAACTGTCTCCGCATGGGGTTGGGATGGTGGTTTCATTGTAACGCAGTGCTGTAATTGTGTTATGTTATTGTTTCTGTTAAGATTCGACCCGTGAAGATCCGGGTTAGAATTGATCTTCAGCAACCGATGCTTGTCGTAAGATGCGTCTAACGGGATCGGGTTGTCAGGCTCGCTGACTTGTTTGACATCGTATCCAAATTGCGTAGATTGATGTACATGCTATTTTTATTTTTTCAATTTTTTAATTTTGAATCTCCATACATCCAGGTCATACAGTTCATTACATAACGGGTTGGTATAAACACGATTCGCAAATATATACAAAGTCGATTTACAGGCAAATGTGCATTCAGGTAGAAATGAATAGGTACTTGACAATATAATAGCAGTACATTATATATAGCGCTAGATTAACAGAACAGATTGTGACATAATGACCAAAATTTTGTGAAGCTGTCATATTTGCAATTTGAGTAGGCATTAAAACGTTCAGCATAATATGTTGTCTTTACGTCTTCTATAATGTAGTTCAAATTTGGTGTTTTATCTCTTTGTTTCATTTTGTATATATTATATTTCACTACTGTTATTATCAAATTCAGAACATGGTTTCTCTTTTCACAATATCCTAGAATAATATTTTTCTTTGAAAAGATAATATTTGACCCTGTTTTTTCGAATATCCATTCTTCTATTTTCTTCCAAATAGTTTTTATGACTTTACAGTCACAAAATAGATGTAAAATTGATTCTTTCTCGGATTTGCAAAATGTGCATGTGTTAGAATCTTTATATTTCATTTTTGTTAGCAAATCATTTGTTGGCAGAAACCTATGCAGTATGCTGTATTGAAACCAAGAGTGTTTTACACTATTATACGATTTAAAGGGTTTTTTTTCCATCGTTTCCCATATGTTATCCTCAATAGACTCATTAAGTTCTTTTTGCCACATGTTTCGGTATGTTAAAGGTTTTCCAGATTTTCCATTTATGAGTATGTCATAGATATCTCTACATCCCTTTGGGTTTCCTACTATATTTCGTAAAAGATAGGGCAAAATCGGAGATTGGATTTTCTCTTCAATATGGACGTTTATGGATTTGAAGCAGTATTTAATTGATACTATTATTCCTTGACGCTCTAGGAAGTTAGCTTTGCACCCAAACTATTTTTTAAATTGTTCCACTGTTACATGTACAGTGGACTTTGTATAATCCGACGCTCACTGGGACCGGGAAAAAATGTCGGATTATACAGAGTGTCGGATAATTCAATGTCTCCTTGCTGAATGTAGGAAAAAAAGTAACAGGAAAATACGAAACAGTACAAAAGTAACAAATAAAAGTAACAAAAATGTGCTTGTAATTGTTTTGATATACTTTGATAAAAAAAAGAAAACAAACCACTGAAAAAGTGTTTCTTTTTTTCCTGTTGCTTTTTTTCCTAGCAAAATATATTACTTTTTTCCGTTTCTTTTTTCCTGTTACTTTTTTTTCGATCACCCTCCTTGCTTGACTATTTTTCAAACAGTACCATGCATTGTAACTGGCTTATATCATGAAATTAATGCTTAATAGCTATTTTCTTGGTAAAAAAAGGGAAACACAAATTCTTTTTTACATGTACATGTATATCATCGGATTTATTATCTTCAGTACAATATACAAACATGTACTACTATCACAATCATATTCACACTTTGATAATTGATCTCACCAAATTCATCGATCCCTTTTCACAGCCCATTCATCCCATGCTGGACAAAACATACCTAGGTCCTCACATTGGCCACTCAGCGTGTAAAACCAAGGTACAGGCGTTCTCACACTGCTAATTACCTCCCAGTTAGCAAGTGCCTGGACCAAAGAGATTACCAGTAACAGGATGTTAGTTGTCAACTGGCCATTGACAGGTTGATTGGCTATTTTAGTCCAATATGGGGAGAGGATGTCGGATTGTACAGATTAATAGTGTCACTGGGACCAGAAAATGGTGTCGGAATTCGGAATGTACAGATGTCGGATAATTCACTGTTTAAATGATGATAATATAGAAGAACGCTGCCGGGACCCTAAAAATATGTCGGAATTCACAGATTGTCGGATAATTCAGATGCCGGATTATACAGAGTCCACTGTACATGCTATTGATCACTTGATTGTCTGGCCCAGACTCGATTATTCTAGCCGCCATATAGCTGGAATATTGCTGAGTGAGGCGTAAAACTAAACTCACTCACTCACTCTCACTCACTCACTCACTCCATATTTAAGATTATTTGTCATCACCACCACACATCCAACAGTAGATAATGGCGACCATTATGTGAATGACTGCATGAAGATCTGACATCATAGGTTGGAGAAGAATATCTGTTAGCTGTGGCAAAACATACAATACAATACACATACATATAAAACCTAGTAACATATTTAACAAACAAATCACCAATAACTTTGAGGTTTAGTGTTGGGAAACATGAACAGCACAAACCATGCATAGCTAACATTCAGTCATCATATTAACGAATGTGAAGACACGCGTCTTGATTATCAACGTTCATGCTGTCGACCCCCAAAATGTGTAGTAGAGTCCATGGCTGACGCGTTATGTGTGCTTGTATCTGACATCTGCAGATAAACATTGATATTCCTGCATACAAGATTTTTCCATTTTAATAATCTTAAAGCCGTTGTGATAGTCGACAGAAAATATCAGATCAAGTAAGATCAGGTAAGTAATGCCTGTACGTTATCTGCAATTCATAATATATCCTGTACAAAATAATACTACCATTCACATACAGCTTGGCGGTAAGTTAAGAGGACGGTTGAATGTTTCCTAGTAACGTCACAATTCAAAGTGATTCAGTGGCAGTTAAATAACGACTTCAGTATGAATTTCTTAGGTAAGATGTTTAGTGGCGGTGTCCTTGAAAAGGATTAAATAATGTAATATATTTGTCCATAGTTTAACATATTACTCTGTAATTTTAAGTTTTCACTAATAAACTCTCTATTTTCTAATGTACTTGAACAAGGCCTATATCACAATGAAAAGAACCCTTTTTCAAATTTAGGTCAGTTCACTGACCTTGAAACTGTGAGGTACATTGGTTGCCTGCTTAAAGTACCCAACACAAGATAAGCTACTTGCCAATCGAAACTGCACTTTAGGCTTTAAAATATAACTGAAATACACATCTAAGTTACCTTACACAAGATCAGAACAAAACTGACTTTATAAATCAGGTCAGTGTGACCTAAGCAAACATTAACCTCACATCTGTGGTGTTTGATTGCACACTGACACACCACCACATCAGCGAGGTACAAAGTCAGTCAAACCTTGTAGCTATAGGGCCAAACTTCAGAGCAGAAAAAGAACTTTTAAAAGTTCGTTCTTGCTGGTGTTTCACGAGCATAGACAAAAATAGGTACGTTTTTGTATTGTATTGTTCATGTTCATGATCATGTTGTCACCTCTGAGCCCCAGGCCCTCGTGTCTTTGCGAGGATTAAAGAATAAAAAAATATTGTTTTTGAGATGACCCCCGATTCGAAAAGCTTCACAGTATAATACATTATGACAGGCCCTCGTGTCTTTGCGAGGATTAAAGATTAAAACATATTGTTTTTGAGATGACCCCATAATATATTATACTGTGAAGCATTTCGAATCGGGGGTGATCTCAAAAGATTTTTTTATTCTTTAATCCTCGCAAAGACACGAGGGCCTGTGCTCTGAGCGTGATTCACAATGGTGAGTTTCTCATGGCGCCATTGCTCATTGACCAACGTAACATTCTTCACAACGTTATGAAACAATGTGGTCTGTGATGCTGTAGGTGTGTACAGATGGGCCAGGTGACCACGTGAGTTTCAAGTTACGGATAGGACGGCGTTGTAGAGGTGAACGTTGAATCAGTTGTAATTGATAATGTAGTGTCTGGGGTGTATATAGTACTCCACACAAGATACGCTGTCAGGTCATTGTGTTCACAACCATGATGTAGGTTAGAGGCTTGCATCTTACACAGCACGGATCAGCGGATCAGCTAGCGAAGCACAACCTCAATCAATGTTCTCAGCCATAGTCCCCAACATCGGAGCACAAACTGAACTTAAAGAAATTCATTCCTGCTGGCTATCACGAGAAAAGGCAAAATTAGGTAACTCTTTGTATTTTATTGTATATGCCTTAGGGCTGGGACTGGTAACCCGGATACCCGGGACAGGTGGTTAATGAGTTTTATATAGCGCAACGTGCAGCATACAGTGTTGCATATAGCGTCACACCAGATATAGCATATTGTATATGGGGTCACATCCAACATATGCTGTATATTGCGCAACATCCAACATAAGTTGTATAAAGTGTCATATAGGGCTCTGACGGGTAGCAAAAATCGGACTCAAGTACCCGGGGGATAAAACCCGACCCGGACTCGAGTACCCGAAACTTATAGTATAAATTTTAGTGAGAGCTATGTGTTTGTTTTAGGTAGTTTTCAATGGAATTTCACGCAAGAATGCAGCGCTTCTAAGTTATAACGTCTGTATTAAATTACACGAAATCTTTCCTTAAAACACGTGGTTATCAATTTGACGAAACACAAACCTCAACTCATGATTTGACTAGCATCGGTCAATGCAGGGCCACATTACTCAACTGAGCACTGGCGCAAACAGCCCACAGCAGAAACCAGTTCATGTGAGCTATAGCGTCACGTGTCGCAACACGTGGTTATGAATACACAAAACTCGAGGGTTTGAAAAGCTTTGAGACTGGGGTAACAATGAGGCTCAACCCACAATGCAGAGAACAAAATTCCGAAAAAAACAAGCCATTGTCAAAATCAGAACATTTATTAAAGCACATTTCGTTTATCCAATATTAAATGTGAATTTCTGTGAAAAAAATTGCACATTGTAACAAAGTGCATCATGGACGATCGCCCACGCGTCTAATGGTAAGAGTACATGATTTTAGATCCCACTCGTCTGTGATGTAATGCCCTGTGACGGTGATGTATTAAACCGTGGGTGGCACAGCTGGTCCAGATATCTGTTGTCAAAGATACGCCAGGTTACTGCTATAGAATATCTTGAAGCTGAGTTTTGGTGTCGGAATATTACTTCATAAGGTAATCATGGAGGGTCTTTGGGCATGTTACTATACTCAGCAGCAAAACAAACGTCAGTACAAATTCAAAATTAGATAGGCACTGTAATCAAATCATTACAGAATTTGACATAAGCGGATCAAAACTATGTTTGTGTACAATATCTTGACACATCAATGAATTTCAAGACATTACGTGAACGTTTGCAGTCCATACATACCTTTGACTTCAGTATCTAGTGTGACCACCACGAGCGGCAATAACTGCAGCACAGCGTCTATGCATGGGGTGCATCAATCGATTGATGATGGCCATTGGTACTTGGAACCACACTCTGAGAAAGGCCTGGCGCAACAAATCGGCTGTGTTCGGCCTTGGTATGACATTAATCAGTCTCCTCTGAATTTCATCCCAAAGATGTTCAATTGGGTTTAAATCAGGACTAAGGGCTGGCCACTGCATAACGTTGACACCGTTCTGCTGTAGGAAGTCCCATGTAGCTCTTGCAGTATGGGCCCGGGCGTTATCATGCTGGAAAATGTTGTTCCGGTGACGTGCGAAATGTGGGAAAGCTTGGTCGATGTAGCTCACCGCTGTGATGCCGCTTCCTCTCCCTGGACCAAGGTTCTGGAACACCACTGCACCTCCCCATGAGTCTCTTTCACACAAATTGGTCTGAGTAACGCTGGCCACGTCGTCGCCATATTCTTGTTCTGCCATCTGGAGTTGATACGCAGTACCGACTCTTATCTGTGAACAGAACAGTACTCCACTGCCTGTATCGCCAGTTTTTATGTTGTAGGGCAAACTGTAGACGTTCACGCCGATGACGAGGGGTGAGGATAGCTCCACGGTAAGGTCTACGGCAATGGAGGTTCCCGCTGTTAAGACGTCGGCGTACTGTATCAGGACTGATTGGTCTTCCGTGTGTTCCCACTGTCTGTCGTGCTGTTTCGGATGCCTGCATGAAGGAATTCTGTACATGCTGTCGCACAACATGGCGGTCTTGTCGCCTTGGTGTCAGCCTTGGTCTGCCAGTACGGGGGCGATCATTTGTGGTGTTGGTGGCCCGGAAACGTTGCTGCAGCCTGGAGATGGTCCGAACGTTGACCTGGAAGTGATTGGTAACGGCTTGTGCAGTGTGGCCAGCTTCAAGTCTTCCTAGCGCCTGGTTCCTCTGAGCTGTCGTGAGTCGCGGCATCCTGCTGACGTTGTAATGTGAATGTTTCAACCAGGTTTGGGGGGTGCATTTTATAGGGCTGGTCCCTGTGAACAGCACGTGCAGCATGAGTTGCATGAAAAACATGGAGAACACCGTACCATCTCCGAGATCAGGTTGCGTTTTTTAGACCATTTCCTGGGTTCCATTCTGAGTTTGGGAAGGAATGTCTTTGCTCAGGTAAAGTTGGAGATGTTGTCAAAAATATACAATCAAAATATTAAATGAGTTTGTGAAGGACAATTCCAAACTGACGTTTCTTTTGCTGCTTGGTATATATAACTTGGATTCAGTGAGTGACAAAAATCACGAAAACCTTTACCTTTAAAAAAGGTCTGAGGTCTCTAACGCACATCATCATGGCCTTGCGTGTGAGTATCTCGTATGTTTTTAAGTCAAGTTTTTTTCGGTTGTAACCCCCCAAATATCCCTTCGTCAGCGTGGATTGCTTTTTGACTGGATTTTGGGAAGAATCGTCCACACTGACGGACTTGTGTTTTCATGTTAAGATGTTTTCTCATTGAGTTTGTTGAGCTCCCTGCATAACTCAGCATAATGCCACAAAGGCGACACTTGGTTTTGTGTTTTGAAGTGTCAAGATCAAAATGGGCCCATACGTTCGACCTTTTCTGATCCATCACTGCACACGTTGTCACGTTTAGTTAAGAGTTATCTCCCTTTGTCGGGTACTCGCGTCCTGGAATTTGGACTCGAGTCCTGCCGTACCCGACCCGTTGCCGGGTACTCGAGTACCCGTCAGAGCCCTAGTGTCATATCCGAGATATCGTATTGTATATAACATATCAAACGACCTATCATGTTGTATATAGCACCATATCCGACATATCATATTGTATATAGGGCCACATCTGATCTTTCCATATCATAAAGTATATAGGCTTTATAGCATTACATCCGACATGCCATGTTGTATATAGCATCATATACGACATGTCATATTGTTTAAAGCACCACATCAGACATATCATGCTGTATATTGCATGACACCCCTTGTATCTCATTGTCTATTGCATCACATCTGATCTATCATATTGTATAATGCACCACAACCAACATATCATGTTGTATATTGCATACACCTCAGACATACTATGTTGTATATAGCGCCACATCCAACATACCATGTTGTACATAGAGCCACACCCAACATATCATGTTGTATATAGCGCAACACCCGACATACCATGTTGTATATAGAGTCACGTCCGTCACTTGTTGTACATAGTGTCTTATCTGACATATATTGTATATAGGTCTTATCTAATATATGTTATATATTGTGCCACATCTGACATATCATGCTGTCTTATGTCACATCCAATGTGTATTGTATATTGCGCCACATCCGACTTATTGTGTTGTATGTTGCGTCATATATCCGCCCTATAATAATTGTTCCCAATGTTACATCAGTGCACCTACAAATATGTTATCTAATTAATCAATACATAAAGATCAAGATTTTACAAAAGCGGTTGTTGCATACACAGGTCAGGTTTGAAATACTGGGAATAATGGATGCCATTTATTTGCAAATTTCTTCATTTCATTCTTTCTTTTGGCAATGAAGCTTTCAACAGAAAAAATATCTTTTAAAGGCTTTATAAAGTTATTGCATTTTGGAATGTTGTTTTTCAAAGAAGAGACATACATATGTCTTTTTGCTGAAATTATTATATGATAAAGTAATGGGATTTTACTTAAGGAACCAAAATACACCAAACTTTTTGTCAAATTAACTTTTTGTATGAAATGGGTGTTAATCCAAATTTGAAGATCATTCCAAAACTTCTTAGTTTCACAACATTCCCAGTAAACATGGCACAAGTTTTCATCCTCATCTTTACAAAAGCTGCATGAGGCACTTTGGATAAGGTTAATTTTTAATAGTTCCTCTTTGGTATAGATAATACCATGTACAAATTTAAATTGGAAATCTAAGAGTTTTACATCATTAATGTCTTGTCTGTAAGCCATAAGTCATTGGCCAATCAAAATCAGTATCATCAAACACTTTCTCCCATTTATGACACATATGAGGGTTATTATTATTAAATAGCAATATATCATAAAATAATCTTGATCCCTGTAATGATTTCATAAAATTCTTTTGATAAGAATTTAGATTCAAGTCATAGTTATGTATATATCTGTGATTTGTTATTGTATTTTTCCATGATTCAGGTAACATATTTAAAACATATCTATGATCTAATTCTGTCCCTTTTATTGAATATTTACTTTTCAAAGATTCAAAAGACATCAAACCTCCTTCATCATACATGTCTTTGATGGTTAATAGTCCTTTATTTGCCCAATGTCTGATATAATGATTTTGGTTGTTAAAGGTATGATTAAACCATAATGGCTGTGCTAATATTTCATCAATGTTGCTTTCCTCTATGGTTATGTTAGAACAATACATATTCCATGTATTTAAAACATCTTTCCAATATGGATTATGAATATCAGCAATATTATATAAATTAGCACCAAATTTCATGATATCATGTAAAGGAAAATTGCATGGATTGCATATTGATAATTTTCTCAAATAAAGTCTCAAAGTGGACAGTTTCAAGGCATTGATAAAGGTATTTATGTCAATCATTCTTACTCCCCCATGTATGTAATCTTTTTTCAAAGTACTTCTCTTAATTTTGTCCTTTTTGTCATTCCAAATGAAGGAAAATATTTTATCAAGGGAGGTAACAAAATCTTGGGGTGGGTTTGGTAAAGTATTAGAAATATGAACTAACTTTGAAATAGCCAGTGTCTTGATAACAGTGATTTTGCCGATTAGTGTTAAATGTCTTTTCTCCACACAGCCAATAATCTGTTAATTTCCTCTAGTTTTTTCTTTGTATTGATGATCCATAAATCCTTCAGTTCGGCGTTAAATATAATTCCCAGAACATCAAATTCATTTTTTCGCCATTCAATATTCAAATCCTGACATAGTTTATCTCCACAGCCTGTTTTTGAACCAATCCAGATTGCTTTAGTTTTATCAATATTTATTTTTAGTCCTGACATCTTATAGAAGGTATTAATTGTATCAACAGCAGAATAAAGACATTTCTCTGTACCATCTAAAAACAATTCAGTATCATCTGCATATTGTCCTAATTTATACTCCGTATCATCAATTACTTTACCTTTGATATTTTCATTTTGTCTTATCATGCATCCAAGGATTTCAGCTACAAAAAGGAAAAGATATGGTGATAACGGATTCCCTTGTCTACAGCCCCGTATATTTGAAAAGAATTCTGAGAGATGTCCATTTTGAATAACACCAGAAGTTGTATTATAGGTAAGGATATTTATCCAGTTAATAATTTGGGGACCAAAACCAAACTTTTTAAATACCAAATTGATAAAATCTTTAGAGACAGTATCAAATGCCTTTTCAAAATCGATCAAAATTAATAAACCTGGGATGTCTCTTCTTTTTGTCTCAAACATAATGTCATACAGTAATCTTGTGTTTTCGCTTATATTTCTACCAGGTATAAATCCAGTCTGATTTTCATGAATCAGAGAGTACAAGGTTGTTTTTAAACGATTAGAAATACAAGTGCTTACTATTTTATACAGTGAATTCAATAAAGTTATTGGTCTCCAGTTTTTTAAAAGGGTTCTGTTTTTATTTGGCTTGGGTATACATGTAATGACACCTCTTTTCATTGTAAAAGACATTTGATTCTTATTAAAAATATCTTTAATAAATCTATAGATCCAATATTTAAGGTCTTTCCAGAAATATTTAAAGAAATCTATTGGAAATCCATCTACTCCAGGACTTTTGTTATTTTTCATATACTCTCCCAAAAAGAAAAGCATAATGAAAATAGCAATTTCATGTAGCAATGAATTAAAACGTGAGTCATTTTACAAAAGGTTTTGCTCTGTTTAGGAGTCCTATGGTGTTTATGTTTTGAAACATCACAACAAAACGCACCATCCGTACAATACCCGTATTTAACAGCATGATTTTCAATTTCGGCGTGTAGTGTCACAGAATACACAATTCACATGCAATGCACGTGAAAGTTGGGGATCAGATAGTCTTAATGATGGGTATAAAAGGTTGATCGCAGTCTGTCGATTATTCACTGTATTCGGAATATTGTTGACGAACGCACAATGCCACGTCTAAGTGAAGCCAACCGTCATATCGCCATTGGTTTGCTTGAAGCTAGCCAGTCTCAACGTGCAGTTGTGCGACGCATGAATGTTCACCAAAGCACCATTTTACGGCTCTGGGAGAGATATCGCCGGCAGAATTCGGTAGCAGATGCCCCTCGTAGTGGGCGACCTCGAGCGACCACTGCGGCGCAGGATCGCTACATCCGGGTACATCACCTGCGTCATCGAACAGCTACGGCGACCAGTACAGCTCGACAAGTACCCGGATTGAAGAGGCTTTCTGCACAGACCGTCAGGAACAGGTTGAGAGAGGCTAGTTTACGTGCCAGAAGACCTAATTTTGGCCATGTGCTTCGACAACAACATCGTCCACTTCGAGTTCAATGGTGCACCAACGTTCAGGCACGTTGGAACCTACCGAATTGGCGTAGAATCTGGTTCAGTGATGAATCACGATTTCTATTGGAACGACGAGATGGAAGAATGCGGGTGTACAGACGTCGACGTGAACGTTTCGCCGACGCTTGCGTTCCCCAGGTGGACAGATTCGGCCGGGGAAGTGTTATGATGTGGGGAGAGATCACCTGTCGTAGGAGAAGTGATTTGGTGACGATCCAGGGCAACCTGACAGCTCAACGGTACTGTGACGAAATCCTACGCCCACACCTCCTTCCAATCATTGATCGCCAGAGGGAGTTGTTTCAACAGGACAATGCCAGGCCCCACACAGCACGTCACACTAGAGACTTCCTCCGAACCACAACGTCAATGTGCTCCCCTGGCCCTTAAGATCACCGGACTTAAACCCGATCCAACATCTGTGGGATGCCCTGGACAGACGGGTGCGACGCCGTAACCCTCAGCCCCAGACACTTCAGCAACTCGCACAGGCACTACAGGCAGAGTGGGCTGCGATTGGGCAACACGAGATTCTGAGACTTATTCGTTCGATGCCGAGGCGATGCCGTGCAGTTCTGGATGCCCCACGGTGGTCACACGAGGTATTGACTTCAGCGCCACCACACGTCTCCATGTGACACTCAAACTGACTTTCTTCGAGTTGGAGTTGGTCTGCATTCCCAGTGTGCAATTTCGCTATATTTCATTGACTCATAAAGCCTACAAGATGTTTCAAAATAAACATAAAAATACAGTTGAAATTCCTATATGTTTTTTTGGGAGAGTATGTTTTAACAGCCAATGTTATTTCTTCCATGTCAATATCTTTTTTCTAATTTGTTTCTAAGATAGTCACTTAAAGTGGGTGTTACCACATCTTGTAAACAAGTATCATCCTCGTATTTCCCGCCAGAAGAGTAAAGTTTTTTGTAAAATGTTTTTACTTCATTTAAGATAGAATAGCTGTCAGTAATTTCGTCATTGTTATCCGTGACAATCTTATTAATTGATTTGCTGACATAATTTCTATTTTCTAGGTTGCAAAAATATTTGGTTGTTTTCCCCCTCTTCATACCATAAAATTCTGTTTCTGAGCTGTATATCCCTTATTTCATCTTCTTTAATTTGTTGTAGTTCAAGTTTATGTTTTGCAAGTTCGGATAATAAATTTTCCTCAATAGTTTGAAAGTCCTTTCTTATTGATTCTTCATAGTCTTTAATTTTAGTTGCTAATTCTGAGGATTTATCAATGGTTTTCTTTTTTAGAAAGGTTGAAAATGAAATTGATTTTCCTCTAACTTTCATAAGGAAGGTTTCTAAAAATAAACTATCATCAATCTTAAGTTTTATATTAAGGTCATTAGCATTTTTATCATATACATCAATATCTGAGTATTCTTCAACTGTGTCCTTTAATATGGATCTAACAAGTTCACTATAATCAGGTTGTAACAATAAAGAAGTATTAAATTTCCAATACCCCCACCCTTTTTTTCGGTTAATAGTATTTGTGGTCCGTGGACCGTTTTATAGCCTGGTAGAATATCGGAATCAAGTGTAAGGTTCAGCAAATCTTGTGAGATTAAAAAAAGTCCAGTCTGGCTTGTTGCCTTGGATGCTTTTTCCACCATGTAAATTTTTTCAGATTATCATTTGAATCCCGCCAAACATCCACAAGATCATCAGCTGCAATTGTGTCTAAAACTACTTTTCTGGCCTTGGGATTGTTAATATTTTTGTAATTTTCTAAATCAATGGAAGGATCAAGAACCAGATTCCAATCCCCTACCATAACCAGAGATTCATTCTCAAAATTGGATATACTTTCAAAAAGCTTTAAATAAAATAATGGGTCATCAATATTTGTACAGTTATGTCTGCAATAATAACTTTTCCACCTTCATCTTCCAGGGTTTTATGTATAGTGAGATCAATATTATTATTGAAAAGTATTGCAACACCTCTTGAATTGGACTTGAAAGGTGCAATTATACTCTGCAATCCCCATTCATTTCTCATTTTATTAACATCTTCTTTGGCTATATGGATATCTTGTAAGCAAATTATTGAGTATGATTTCTTTCTATAGAGATTCATAACTTCTTTCCTTTTGTTTTTATCTGCCAGACCCCTACAGTTAGCTGAAATCATCTTTATCTTTTTGATATTATCCATCTGATAACCAGGTTAAAAACAAAGTAGTTTTAAGCATTGAAATATAATTGAAGTCTCTAAAATTATGCTTGAGTTTTGTAACTAGATATATGTATAGATGCTGTATTTCAAAACATGTCGGATCATCTGATATAAAAGGTTGAGAACAATGTCTTGATTTTTGGAAGACTACTAAAAATATGATGTAGTAAACATAAGCACTGAAAGCTGTTGAAAAGAAAGAACTGAGGCCCTAAACTTGTATCGGTGAGTCTTGTGACAATATCATTCAAAACGCAGTTGTCAGTGTTGATATGTTAGAGGAAAACGTATGTGATGTGCATCGCTCCTTTACAACAGAGATGTACATGCCTCTCACCACCCCAACAGTTATATTACGTGCATTTCAGGTACAATCTTATCACTTCCGCGGGCCAGGTATTCTGCTACTTATCTTCCCTCGTGTGTACATTTCCTTTTTCCTGTTGTAGACACACACAAGACTGGGCACATTCGCTGACGTTGGAAACAGGATGTTGTCCGAGTTCATACTGGGGACAGCTGTTGTGCTGTTTCTCGCCTACATATATCAGTCAAAACGGAAATACAGCAGCATGCCTCCGGGTCCGAAACCACTGCCAATACTTGGCAATTTCTTCGAAATAAATGAGGGTACAATGGCACAAGATCTCACTCATTTGGGTTCTCAATACAATGGCATATTCACTGTTCATCTGCTAACGACGCCGGCAATCATTCTGGATAATGTCAAAAGCATAAGGGACCTCCTTCTTTCTCCTGAATATGCTGACATCTTCAGTGGAAGGGTGAGCTCATATTTCAGCAAGCATTTGGTGCCACATGATATGGCATTGCAGACGATTAGTGAACTACAGCAGTACATGAGAAAGTTGACCTTTCGTGGAATAAAACAGTACGGAACTGCACTGAAAAATGTTGAGCACCACGCCCAAGTAGAAATCCAAGAAATTATCAAGAGGTGCAGAGAAAGAAATGGCGTCTCGTTTGACCCGTTGGAAGACCTGAATCAGTATGTCAGCAACGTGATCTTAATTTTGGTAAGTTGGCATATTCTGAAGAATAGTAACTAATAATCGTTGTGGTGATTACTAATTAGGTACATGAATAATGGTCTACATAGTCGTGTAAAATGGTGTTTTCATGATTAAGAGGATTAAATTTGTGAAATGATTACTGGTTTGCCTATGCACCACAAAGGTCTTGATGAACTGTGGCATTCACCAATCTTGTACATATAATTTCAGATTTGTGGACAAAGATTTGAACCTGGTCATAAGACACTGGAGATGTGTGGCAATATTGCCACTGAGTTTGTGTACCTCTTCAACTTCAAGAACCAGATTCTCATGGACAATGTCCCGTTCAGTACAATGTTGATACCAGACCTAAGACGGGCATGTCAAACCATGAAGGGCAGTTACCATTATTTCACTGAGGCTATTGACAAAATATCACAGGTAATGCTCACAACCCCAACAAAGATATGTTCAACTGTCGTCAAGTAAATGACGCTTGTTTGAAGCTGCTTCTACTGCATGTGTACTATGATAACAGACACTACTAACCAAGAATGAGTGTGGGGTTATTGGGAAGTTAATACTTCCTTACTCTTACATCCTGAATATGCTGAATCAGTAGGATCAATCTTGAAGGATTGAAGAATGCTTAGATACTGAACCTATTGGTGAAGGTATTGATGATTCTGATATTAAACTGAAGATTGATGATATCTTTGGAAAGAACTTAAGGGTTTGATTTATCAGTGGTGTTTCAAGAAGAAATAAGATGTCTCTTACCATGAAGAGCGGCGTTTTGATATTAGAGGTACATATATGGATCTTGGATATGTTTTGAAAAAGGGTTCAAGATTATTTTATGATAATGATTTTGAATGGCGTATGATTTTTATATTTGCAGAAAGAATTTGAAAGATGTAAAACTTTTAGATTTTCAGTTTACATATTTGCACAGAATTATTTATACTAAAAAGAGCTTTTGAAAATGAAACTTGTTGACAATGTAGTATGTAGCTTTTGTAATGTTGATAGTGAAACTTTATGTTATATATATTGTGAATGTAATGTAACTTTTGTAAGCCAAACCTTCTGGAAAGAACTTGAAAATTGATAATCCAACCAATCATATAATCTTTTCTGCTAAATCTTAGAACAATAACTTTGATAAATCTTCAGACAAATGATGTTCGTTATTCTCAATATTTAATTTCTGACTTAATCTTTAATCGAAGCTGAATAACTTTACTGGATTATAATTTCTTTATGCTATCAGTTGATATACAATCTTTGTTGAACCCAATGAACTTTGAACATGCATTTGTACATTTATTGCTTTACTCTGCTTGTATTCAATTATTGGAACAAATAAAAAGAATTGAAAAAAAAGATATATATTGAATATTATTGTATAAAACGGAGCAATTAACGCTTGAGGTGATTGTAAAATGTTATCAGCTAAAAATATATCTTTGTAGGAATCAAAAGGTACGATGCCCGACTGTCTCTACACATTGCTGTTAAAAGAGCGTGAGGAGGGAATGTTATCAATGGGAAACGTAAAAGGAATACTGATGGATATCCTGATTGGAGGTAATACAATACAAATGATATTTTGCTTTGACGTCTTTCTGTTTATCTTTGTACATAATGAACTTTACATGTTTTCGGGTTACCGAAGGACAAATACTCATGGACAATCACAATTATCAGTACACAGGTGTCTGATTGTTACATTCAACTACCATTCAATATTTTATGTGGACAGGTATTATCACAACAAAAGGAACCCTTTACAGTGCCCTAGCGGCAATGGTAAACTTCCCCAAGGTCCAGAAGAAGATCCAGGAGGAGATCCAAAGGGTGGTTGGAAAGGACCGACTTCCGGATTTGGAGGACCGGAACAAAATGCCCTACACCAGGGCAGTAGAATTGGAATTATATCGTTACTTTACGCCCGTTGGAACGCCTGGTCCAAGGCATTTGACACAAGATTGCACCTATAAGGGTTACAGCATTCCAAAGGGAACAATGGTGCGTTTCAGTAATACTTAAGGACCATATATCTGCAAATAGCTTCCTTCATGGCATATATATTTCATAGTACATATTACCAACTGGTTATCTAACACGATCTACAAACTCATTACACAATCCTTATCGTCTATTTATTCCTCTCCTTTGATCTTGTAAGATGGTACCTGCTGATTCCAAGCTGAATCTAAAACGTTTATCGGGAGTCAGTCCGCACGAGAACTATGTGTGATATATACCAATAAACAACAAAGAAATGTGATATAATTAAAAATTGTATTCTCAAATCAACTCCTCAAATAAATACAAAGGTATAACTATGACAGTACAAATAGACTGACAGTACAAATTCAGAGGAAGTGAAATAACACAAGAGCAGGGATTATAGCAACAAAGCTCATGATGGCAATATTCAGGAACAGTAGCCCAACATGCAACTAGTCCTGGCGGGATATGATCATCACACAATGCTGGTCTACTGGTGACTTGAGATGTACTGTGAGATGAGAGGCAATAACTCACTCCCTTCATATCCAAGAAAAAGCCGAGATAATTCCACAATAGTCTCAAAGGCAGATGGTTCTAGTATAGGCTTTCCAGATTATTCATCATTGTTCTCAGCACCACTGGAGATGCCTCTACGGTTGTAGCACAAGTCGAAATATATCACACCATTGGCTCTACAGGTACTATATGTAAGAAGTTAAACATTGATGTACAATGTATAACGCTGCCTCATAACATTATTTATTTCACTTAACAGATAATTACCCTCAATGACACCATCAATTAATAACACAATTCTACTGAATCTTTCTTTTGCAGGTTACTTACAATGTGTGGCGAGTACATCATGATGAATCATTTTGGGAGAATCCCTTCACATTTGATCCAACCAGATTCCTGGATGAACATGGCGAACTGCTGCCACCGGAGGAGGAAAAACGTCAGAGGTAAACATTCAAAGTACAGGACGTGTTTCAGCTGAATCACATTATGTTTGGAAATGAAGGCTCGGACAGCAATTACCACATTGATTATGGTTCTGACCAACCTAGGATTCTAATTTGGACGACCAACACAGTCGGATGCTGGCAGATTGTTTTTACAGTCAGCTCTTAGCCATACAAAATAACAAGATCAGGAATGAGAGATTTCAATACATGTACAAGTCTTTGAAGGGCATTTAGAAGTAGAATGCATACGAAAAGCAAGATTTATGGATGTCAACTTCTTTATTGGAGGAGCAAGCATACACTCCAAAACGTCGTGCTATTCACAATAAAGAAGTTGACATCCATAAATCTTGCTTTTCTTATGTATAAGTGTTTCATTTCATTGCAGACTGTTGACGTTTGGCATCGGAAAGCGTTCTTGCATTGGCGAGAAGCTGGCCCGAGTGAGGATATTTCTTGGACTGACGTCCCTACTCCAAAACTTCGACCTGACTCGTGATCCATCGGAACCTTTCCCTTCACCCGACCCCCGTACATACCAGTGTGGATTTATCTCACAACCACCTCCTTACAAGCTACAATTCAAACCTCGACAATGAGATCATCAATGCACCAGTTATACAGACACATATTCAAATTGATGAGATGTTACATAGGAGTCAGAAATTGTTCATTCTGAACCATTCAACACAGGATCCTGGCATGGCATCTTGGTACACATTGGGACATCTTTTTGGACTCTATGTCACATGTGTCATAGTTCTAAAATGACTATAGTTAATCCATAATTATGGCGGTCATAATTAAATGATAAGTTTTGTATTAGCATCAATATTGTTTTGACCAATAGCGATGTTAGTTGCTAGCTGTCCATGTATGAGTGAGTGAGTTTAGTTTTACGCCGCCTTTAGCAATATTCCAGCAACATCACGTCGGGGGACACCAGAAATGGGCTTCACACATTGTAGCCATGTGGGGAGTCGAATCCGGGCCTTCAGCGTGACGAACTAACGCTTTAACCACTAGGCTACCCCATCGTCCCTGTCCACGTATGAACCAACAAGACTGTAACCAGTAATTATGTAACTCAGTCAAACTTCGACGGCTGGGGTTATGTACCAGACTGTACCAGGCTGTTCATGGCCAAACGCATCATTATTGTAAATAGATAATGTCAGGTGGTAACGTTAAATATATTCAGCGGTTACTGCACTCTGTAACTAACAAACGATTGTAGTATAGCGTTTATTCTTTGAATTATATATAATATATATTGAAAAAGAGCCCCAGTGGGATGTGAGATTCAGAACCAGAGGAAATCTAAATTTGCTTCTTTAAGGGGGCTTCAGCATTGCAGAAGGGATAATAATGTGCTTAAAAATTGTCAATATGGAAATCCACCTGCCACTTAATGTCAATGATTTGCACGTGCAAGTCGCTCTATCCATGGAAAGTGGAAGACAATAAACATGTATTGATGCTTTTTTAACTGTCGTTCACTGTTCAGGTACCTGTTTGAAATCGCAGCTTAAATTAAGACAGTTTTGACACTTGCTGAAAGGGGTCAGGCTACAGGCCTTTTGGAATCTGATCAAACTCTTTACTGTGAATCAGGGTGCTATTGGTAGATTATGGCAGAAACAAGATTGATGCTAATACAAAACGTATGAACATATATATATACCTTGGGCAACATATATATACATATATATATATATATATATATATATATATATATTGACTCCTATGTGTGTGTGTATATATATATATATACTGCCCAAAGGTCTACTGATAATATATATGATGTGCTGCCCAAAGGTCTGTTAAAAATAACAGATAGGATGTGTTGCCCAATAGGCTGTGATTATGGCAGACGGGATGTGTTGCCCAATAGGCTGTGATTATAACAGATAGGATGTGTTACCCAACATTCTGATGATTATGATATACATATATTTCCCTGATTATGATATACATATATTGCCCAAGAGTCTTCTGAATATTCATATATACATATAGAAGGGCGAGGGGAACATAAACAAACATCGAGGGTACATCAACCTATGGGCCCCGAGGGACCAGTGAACAACGTATTTATCTTACCGAACACCTTAATGTTAATTTGGAATTGTTTGAAGGACGGATGCAAATCTTTTTGTAGCCATCGCTAGATTTTGCTCACAAGAAAAACAGATTTAGAGTTATCTCCCTTCCATCGATTTGCATTCGCAAAATATCGGTAATTTCCGTACATCATACGTGATTCAGTGTTATTCGAGATAAAGAATTACTACCACGAAGTACCAAATGAGTTGCCATTGACAGCGGGGTACATTGAAATGTTACTTGCCTGTAAGCGGGGTACATTGAAAATAATAGAAGAGCGCTCCGCTAGTCAGAAAGCGACATTTATGTGTGAGGTAAGATAAATATATCTATATATGATAAGTTGCCCGCTCGTTAACACAATACATCCTATTCATCATAAACACAGACCTTTAGACAACACATCCTAGTTGTATACAATGGAATTGAGAATCGAAAGCTTGATTGTTTTACTAATGACCTACCAAAAATATGATGAAAAGAGGCCGAGCTAAACACATTCTTGACTTTGTATCTTGAAATGATATGTTATGAGTGTTCACTTATCTTGATATCTAGAAAGAAACTATTAAAAACTGTTGGTGCCCTTTGACTTCCAGTGCATCTGCTGATAAACAGTATATCCATCTTTACATTTTAGTACCTTCTCACAGATACAACATCTGAATCCTGAAAAGGTAAAGGAAGAAACTGTATCTGCTGACATGGAATACAGGTGTCTTTAGTTCTCATTTGCTGAATATACTGTGTATGAAGGACACAAATCATTAATGCAAATGTATTGACATTTACATGAATCATTTGATAACAACCCATTTAAACACCTGATACAATTATGTAAAACAAATTTATTTGAGAACCCACCCATCCCCACTCTCAACCACCCCTGTGATATGAACAGAATGGTGTCAGAACCTTCATACACCTGATTATCTGATGGACGATTGAAGTAGGCAATATGTTAATTTATATACTCTGTATTGAGAAATGCCAATATTTTCTCTTCATGGGTCTGGTCTGAATTGTGTGCACTACGAACCACGACACGCATCAGCTCTCTATGAAACTGTGGTAAGATATGAGTAGATAGTAGCCTGAAAAGTGAAAATGATATCTCTATAAAAACATGATAATTGCAGGGATTAAGTTTTGAATTGTAAATGTTTGGACATCATTCAAGTGCGAAAGTCAATAGAAAAGCTTAAAAATGTTGAAAATTGCCCTATTGATATATGAAAAGAGCAAATTCTGCCAGTTTTCAAAATTTTACATTTTCGGTAAAGTTTTCCATGATCAGAACCACAATACTTGTCTAGAACTGCTTGTTATGAGACTAATACAGTTTGTCTTTAAATTTTTCATATATGTCATTAAAGACAGGCTATCTGTATATAGCACTTTTCCATGTGTATCAATTAATCTCTTATTGGCCATTTTGAATTTCTTGTTACATTTATCAATAGTAAAAGATCCTGTATTGAGATAATACCTAAAACATGTATTGCTGCACACGGTACTGATCGGCACACTACCATTCAAGATAACTGTACTAATATTGAGAAGGATTGAACAATTTGCAAAGATTCATGAGGCATTACTTCATGAGGTATTGCAAGTTTGTGGTGCTGAGTTCTAAAGGTAGGCCAGAACATTGTTAAGGTTAGGGATGCCTAAATACATCGATGCATTGCTATTTTGTCTAAGACGGTACAATTATCAATACATTCAAAACTGTATTGATATTTAGTTTTGAAAGTATCTGTTAAATTTACATTTATCAAATGTATCATGTTATTTTGATGTTATAAGAGTTATAAATGATTTTTTTTATGCCCAAAGATGGGAAATTAGAACTTTTTAATCTCTGAGGATAAAAAATGTTGATCTTTTCATGGACAATTATAAAATATGAAATATTAATGTTCAAAATGTAACTAAATTCACGCAATAATGCAGCGAAAAATAGGGATCGTGATACATATCAAATCATGACATGAGTATCGATTCATGAAAATTATGTATCGCGACATCCCTAGTTAAGGTAGAAATAAATTTAACAAAGTTGTGAAAATAGTATTCACAATTTAAACCTACTAACGTGAAGGTATTGATCTCTGGATCACATAACCTACCCCCTTCCTCCCTTTCGAATGCCTCAGAAACTCCTCCTCTGATTCTGCAATTTGAAGATCATATTTCTCCTCTGCCAAGCTCGTTCATAATTGTTTGCATTATGTAACATTAAAATGTTAACAGTATTATTCTCAAAATGATTATGAACTTAAATTCAAAACTGAGATTAAGAAATTATATTTTTTCTTCTGAACTGATAAAGTATTTAAAATACTACTAGATTTAGTTATTATCCTAACAACATACATAAATTATGAATTTACAATGTTTCATATTCAGAAACTTTTTTAAAATAAAATTAACCTACCAGACATAAACTGGATTGGATATGATTTCAACGTCTAACAGGACCATCCGGGACTAGCACTTAGTCTCTGAAAATATATAATTTTGATAGAAACAAAAATTCCTTTTAAACTGAAAAGGGGCTTCAGTGAGATGGGAGATTCCTGAATCCAAGTAAATCTAGACTTGCTTCAATTAGGGATGTAGCATTGCAGAAAGGCATTGACGGAAGTAAAAATAATGTAGTTCAGGAACTATGAGACAGGCTTGACCTTTCCAGACTTTTTACAATTTTGTCAACTTTGAACTTGATTTGAAGAGTGACCAAAGGAAAACACTTGTGCCATCAAGTCAATTTGAATGGAATTTAAGAATACCCATAATATCATACATAGTATGCATGAACATAAACTTTTGTGATGAAACATAGTTTCAATTTACTCACACAATATACATAGTTATGTCTTTATTAATGGTGTCAAATATGTTCTCTTCACGATATGGCTGCAATATTGCCGAGGTGACGTTAAATAATAACTCACTCCCTCACTCACGTTATTCATGGGTTGCTTCTAAGTCATGTTCAGGATGCAGTTTTGTTAGTCATCCATGCATAAATGTCAAAACTCACCACTAATACAAAATATGTTGATTTCTTTCAGATTTCTTTTGATTTTTGTTCAAAGTTACTATTCCTAATAACGATTATCGATTCTATGATTTATATCAATACTGTCTGCCCAGTGCTGTTCAGAGATGTAGATATTAGTCGACAGTGCAAACTATCAGCCGATGATGGGCCAATGATGAATGATGCACCCTACCTGAATAGATGCACCAAAGCGGCATTTCTGAAACTGTTGTTATGGCTTTGTAAAGGTAACTTACAACAGAAAGAGGTTTTAATTCTTACTGTTTTTATTGAAAGGAATGTTCACCTCAATTTTACAAAAAAAGTTATTTTAAGAAACCCCCTCTTTGAACAAAATTACCCTTTTATGCAATTTGACCGCTAAGGGAACTTAAAAAAACATATAGACTAATAACATATCCCTGCATAGAAACAGTTGGACTATTGACCTATTGACCTGTGGACAGACAAGGTTATAGTCCTGGGCCAAATGCAAGAAAAGTTTTTATCTTTCAGGATCTCTCAGCAGCAGTAAAAGTGTTATCCGGTAATTAAAAATTCTTGTCATAACCAGCCACAAAATGTATCAGGTTACGAAAAAAACAAACAAGGTTTTACCCAGACAGCCATTACTTGTAGGTAATAAGGTTGTAGGCTACAATGTAAGTAACCAGATTAAGGTAATTAGTATTATTAGCATGAAAATGGTGCAAAATATACAGTTTATCACTTAACACTGATGTTTTTACTCTGATAGACCAGTGGAGGAGATATACTGCACAATGATACCCAAAGGGGCAGGGCTCAAAGCAGGAGTACAAAAAGCTATATTTGAAAGTTAGAAACTCTTGATAAAAATAATGTAACTGAAACATATTATGGTCAAGCGAGCAGATGCATATTTCCTTTGCATGAACATTTAGGAAATGTGTAGCTGATCATATAAAAATGTGTAGTTCAGCTATCAGAGGAAACAGCAAAGAGCGGACAATCGAGAGTGACATCATGAAACTATAACTACAAGTCTTCCTCAACACTGCAGTATCAGCTCATTATTTGAGCAAACCCATGCCAATGAGTATGAACACCATGTTCTAATAGAGGGTGACAAGCACTGATGCAGTCAAAATATGCAGTGTGGGTGATAAAACCGGTTGTAATGTGTTATGCTATCTCTATATTTGGCCTTTAAGTAAATTTACTGAATTCAATTCTTACAGATTTGGTTAGTTCCTGAAGTTAGAAAAGGTTTGTGGACTGTTTTTGCGGTTTTATTTATTTATTAGTTGGTAGATATATATTTAAAATAAGAAAAAAATATTTCGGTGCGAAAGTCAGTCTGATACCCTGAATATAAAGCGTCAGAATGAGAGCCGGTTTTTTTTGCCGCACCGGACCTGATCGCAAGTGGTTCATAAATTACTTGGTTCCCTATCTGCTGACCGACTAGATATGCGTCTAAGTACAAGAATGTACGCTGGCCTAAAGGAAAAGGTTAATTTCACTCACTGAGTGAACATATAATGCGTTGTGATTAGCTGTAACGGGGTGTGGATCTAGTCTGTCTCACAGTCCCTGAACCAAAATAGTATTTTCCCTACTGCCTAGCCCTTTCTGCAATGCTAAAGCCCTAAATGAAACAAGTCTAGATTTCCTCAGGTTCTGGTTTCCCTGGGGCTCCTTTTCAATTTATAATGGGTTTGATTGTTACCATCAAAATTTTATAAATTCAGAGACTAAGCGATAGTCTAGGTGTGGATCAAGTGGCAACATGATACGAGACCTCACAATCGTGATCAAGTTACTAGCAAACAATTTCTTCCAGTTGCGAAATCTTGAAATAAATTGTGTCATGGGACAGGCATCGCCTTTGATACAATTGTACATACTGCTGTTTTCAACAAAATACTCCGATTACGATACAAACCATGCATTTTCCATAGCTTTGTGCTGCCAAGTCACCTCGTGTAATGTGCGAAAACTGTAGCAAACGGGATCCAATTTGACACAAAACGTGAATGGGCCTTCGTGTGAAACATGAATTCAATTTATTTACAGATTATTACAGTGTTATTTTGATTGAAGTATCAAATGTTTTAAGTATTTAAACGTGTTCTTCGTGGCATATTAGTCTCGTCTGTCAGCTCCAACAATATCTACAGACATTATTGGATTATTAGCTAAGTGACGTCATCATGTCGGGTGGACGTGTCTCTCGGCTCTCACCATGGCTTCTGATTTTACCTTACAGAAGGTTCTACTGAGGCAAATGTTGATACTAAAGGTATGAAATAGCATTTACACATTTAACTGAACGAAGTATCTCCCTGAAATACATCATGATCTGAAAGTTCTACATGCTGACAGTAGTGGGGCAACATTCACATGTGATCAGCCATCTTGAATTCACGGGAGCAACATGTGGTATATGTAACCCTTATCATACTACTTTTTAATTATCAAACTTCTGAAACACTTAATGGAGACACCATTGGTCTCCACCAAACGAAATCGTTCAAACGTGTCCACTTCACCCGTGACCGACACTTTAAACAAGAGACAGTGTAACTTAAGCTCTGGCGGCCAGTGTCTGGATACAGCTAGTGACCTATCTAATTCCATGATGAGTGACCAGGAAACCACCGATGCAGTATTTGTTACTGATGAACCTTATGCTAGCTCGTTTATCAACCAATTCTTGGTTGCTTTACAACATAAGACAGTTCTGTCTGTGATAGGAGCTGCTGTTGGTGAGGCTATCAAACCAAAACTCAGACAAGAGATGAACGCTATCGTTCAGAAGAACAATGAATTAGAGAATGAAATTACTATTCTAAAAGACTGCATCACAGAAAAGGACAAAGTTATACACACCCTTACTGACAGTCTAGATAGACTTGAACAACACTCCAGAAGTAACAATATCCGCGTGGCGGGTATACCTTAGAAGCAGGGTGAAAATACAAACCAACTTATTATTAATGTGGCAAAGGCAATTAGAATTGATATTACATCCTCTGACATTGATGTCAGCCATAGAGTCCCCCGCTTCCTTCCTAAACCTCAGGCTCAAGCAGGACCTATTATTGTACGCTTATCAAACACCACCAAATAAAGCCTGATTACTAACAAGAAGAAACTGAAAGACCAGCGTGTGTGACCAGGCAGCAAGATCTCCATCAGTGAAGATCTAACCAGAAAGAGGGCTGCACTAGCACGGCAGGCGAGGGATCTTGTCAAGGAGAATAGGGTGGAATCCTCATGGGTGACAGGGGGTGTCGTCATCGTCAAGATGAAAGATGGCACACAGAAGAAGGTGTCTACAGCCGCCAATTATCAGGAAATATGTGAAGCTACACGTCTCATATCTGTGATCAGGCTAAGCCACAAACCATCAACAATTAATGAAGTGTTCTAGTGTGTCACACATTCCTATTTGTCTGCTATAATTACATAAACCAACCTTAATGGGGTGAGTTTCTTTGTAATATATATTTTTTATAATGTTTATTGATAATGCCTCATGTCTCTTGGGCGTGGATTGTGTCTCATAAACAGCAAGAAATCTTTACTGAACTAATCCATCTCTTCAAGACATTCAACTGATGGCGGGATATTACTACATTATATATTGTGAGTATTATTGTGCCTGTGTACAGTGTAGTGTTAAACCCAGTGTTACGATAAACACATCATCAATCTGATGCTGAAAACCTGGTGAAAACACAACTGATATATACACTCAACAAATATGCAATAAACCTAAAAGTGATAGATTGAAATGCACGTGTATATTTGTATCAAGCAAATCAATCATACGAACAACAACGTTCCCTGCTCGTCGGGCAACCTCGCAGACTATTCTAATAATGCATATCGCCTACTCTGAATATTCTAACTCTCCATGCAACATCTGACTGACTGACTGACTGAGTTTGGTTTTACGCCGCTTTTAGCAATATTCCAGCAACATCACGGCGGGGGGACACCAGAAATGGGCTTCACACATTGTACCCATGTGGGGATTCGAACCCGGGCCTTCGGCGTGACGAGCCAACGCTTTAACCATTAGGCTACCCCGGTGACCGGACAAAATCCACCTGGACAAAATCCACCCGGACAAGATCCACCCCAACTTTATATTGTTTGTAAGCCAGATCGATGGG